TAAAAAGAGAAAAAGAAAAAAGGCTTTGTTTTTCTGTAGTTGGGAAGAATTGTATATTTGGAAATACCAAGAAGGTGAAAAAAAGATAATTTTGAATTACTTTTTACTTTATTGGATACATAAACGTACTGTGGTGAACTGAGCTGACTAGCCGTGGGAGTCATCTCCCTTGGCCATATGTATGCAGAGGACAGTGAGGATGAATCCACAGAGCAGCTTCAGCAGTGTGAGGTGCAGAGCTTGTGCTGGTGAGAGACAGGGGTTTCTTGTTTGCACCCTCTAGCATCCTAGGGTGCTGGGGCAGAGAAGTCTTCATGTTGCCACTTGGTCTTCCTAAGTATTCCAAATACCTTTTAGATAACTCCCCTGTTAGATAAACTGCATTTGTGTTCCAGGTTATTATTTCTTTGTTTTGGGTTATATTTTGCTTTTTTATTTTATATGTGTGTATATGTTCCTATGTGCTTAAGTGTCTATTTTGTGGTACAGTTCTTGCCTTCCACCTTTAGTGGGTTCCAGGGATTGAACTGAGGTTGTCAATCTTAACACAGGTGTCTTTACCTGCAGAGCCTTCTCATTGACCCTCAAGACTATACTTACTATAGGAAAAATGTACCTGAGAATAAAATGGAAACAGATGAGCAAAGATTTATTTAAAATTAGCAACTAAATGTCCAGAAGCCTTTGGATGAGAACAGCTGTTTTTCAGTATCTAAACCTGTTTTTGTCTGCCTGGACAGTTGATGTTCAATGTGAGAAAACTTAAGCCCTGTGTGAGCCTTAGTTGAAACACTGGGTTACAGTTGATGCAAGGTACCTTGTTTACCAAGGAAAGATCATGGCAGGGAAATATCTTAAGGCTTTTCAGTTCAGATAAGCTTGAAGAGTAATGTTAGTTAGCCTTGGACAAGCTACTTCAGAATTCTTTCAAATTTTACTTTTGCTGTTGAGACAGAATCTCTCTACATAGCCCTGGATGTCTTGGAAATCACAATGTAGATCAGAGATCTTCCATTTGCCTCTGCCTCCCAAGTGATGGTATTAAAGGTGTGCGCCATCACACTAAAGGTTTTTATTTGTGACTACTAATATTGTAGCATAGAATTTTTCTCAGGATTCTGTAGGAAATAACACCTATAGATAATTACCCTGAGCCAGATTCAGTATAGACACTCAGTAAATCTTGACATTTAATATTGTCTTAAGTGACATCGTGCTGTTATTAAGGGGTCTCTCAAACTTCTCATAACCTTTGATGATTAAAAAGTTGAAATCAGCTGGGTGGTGGTGGTGGTTCACGCCTTTAATCCCAGCACTTGGGAGGCAGAGGCAGGTGGATCTCTGTGAGTTCAAGGCCAGCCTGGTCTACTAGAGCTAGTTCCAGGATAGACTTCAAAGCTTCAAAACCCTGTCTCAAAAAACAAAAACAGAAAACAAAACAAATAAGCAAACAAAATGTTGCAATCAGAGCTTTTCCAGATTGGTCAGTTTTGGTTGCAGTCTGCTTTCATTTTAGAAGTAGAGTCATTTAAAAAGAAAATTACACTTAAAAAATTACAATTAAGCTTTGTCCGGTTTCCCAGATGACTGATGTGCAGCCGGGGCTAGGAACCTGTGCTTTGGGTCTCCTTTTCATTGTTTACAGGGTTATGTTCCACCACAGGATAAGTCTTCTCTTTGTGGTTTTGAGAACTCACGTAATAGAATCTGCATATTTTTTCTCTACCCTAGAGTCCCTACATGTCCCTACTTCATCCTTCTGAGGAAGGAGTAAAGGAGTGGGTAGAGGTTGGGGCGGAGGCATTTCAGTATATAACTTCGGCATAGCTGTGTGTGTCTGTTTCCATAATGCTATGTGGGGTAAACACAGAAGGATCTCTGGGGCTTGCTGGCTCCCAGCCTAGTTCTCGGTGCAGTGAAAAAACTGAAAAGAACAAGGAAGATGCCAGGTGTGGTGGTAAATGCCTTTAGTTCCCAGCACTAGAGAACCCTTTTGTTTGCCATCCCAGAGGATGAGCATTCCAGTGTCTGTTACTTGACTTTTCTGTAATATTTTGCGTTGTTGCTTGTATCTCCTTGAATTTCTGTTTTGGTTCAACTTGTGTGAACTTCTTTGACTAATCTTATTTCCTTTTCTTATGCTCATGTTCATCAAGATTCTGGCCTGGTGGTTGACTGCTCTTCTCACTAGATACCCCATGGGCTGTTTTCTATGCTCATTTGATAGTCATATGCCCTCCTGATTTATTTCACCCACCTAGATATCTTTCCTCAGCACTATGAACAACTTCATTTGGGGTGATGTAGGCCTCAAACTTGGGCTGAAGAGATGGCTCAGCATTTCCTAACAACCACATGGTAGCTCACAACCATCTGTAATGAGATCTTGTACCCTCTTGAGGAAGATGCCTGGTCAGGCATCCTCATCAACATAGACCGTGAAACTCAGTATGGACAAGTTCAACAGAACCACTATATACAGGCTGCCCATGCATCATGCTTCAGTATTGCCAGGGCATATATTTCATTTTCAAGTTCAGTCCTTAAACTCAGCTTGTTCAGAACTCTATGATTCCTCATTTTCAGGTTTATTCCTGATCATTACCCAAGTCAGAAATAGAAAACCTTGATGGTATTCCTGTTTTTTTCTTTAGCTCCACTGACCTCGTAACACCAGCTACCTATTTCTCTTCCATATTCAGTCAGCAGCTGGTCTACAAAAGATGTCCTAGTTTTGTGTTTGTGGATTTTTTTAATCTATCTCATTCTTCTACTGTACATACCAATAGCTTTCTTTTGATGTAAGTGAAGGAACAGACTAAAAGCCAACATCTTTCACAGTAGAGATGTCCAGAGGCACTGAAGAAGCAAAAATTTAGAGAGCTGAATCCTAACCACTACACTACCAGAGAAGAAGTAGAAATAAAGACCAAGAAAAAAGTTTGACCTCTGCTGGGAGAAGTTGTGTAGTGTGGTGAAGGCAGTTCTGTACCTGTCCCACCCTGCATATTGTTTCTGGATGACATCCACGTTGTATTCCCTAGCTGTTTGTTATCAGGTCCTCCCTCCGCTACTTTTTGAGACAGGTCAGTCTCTGTAGTCCAGGCTGTCCTTGAACTCATACAGTAATCCTCTTGTCTCAGACTTCTAAGTGCTTGCATATTAGTTATGAGCCACTATGCCTGACTCCACTCACTTGTTTGCTGGTGTCACATGTATTATTTCTAATGTCTCTGACTTTTAATCCCAAACCGAATCTTAAGATATTTTATAAATCAATGTTTTGCTTGTTATTTACATGTAATTGTCATTAAGCTGTGACAGTTCTTCACAATCAAATCACAATCTATTTCTCTTTTGGTCTTTTATTATTTTTCTTAATTGGAACTATAGCAGGCAGTTTGCAATTCTGTCTGTGTGTATGTGTGCATGATGTGTGGGGATGTGTATACATCCTGACACCTGTGTGAAAGTCAGAGGACAGCTCTGTTTCTACAAACCTTTCCATGGGTTTTGGAGATCAAGTTCAGGTTTCCATGGCAAATGGCTGCTAAACCGTCTCTTTGGCCCCACTTGTAGTTGGTTGGTTTACCTTTTATAATACTGGTAGGTCATTTCCTTCATGAAACTCTTCATTTGGTTCTTTGAGCTCCATGCTCTTGGCCACAGCTCTAATTTTTTTTTATTAAATTCATCTCCTTTGATGTCTTCCCAAGCCTAAATGTATCTTTTGGGTTTTTACCTCTGGCTTAATGTCTTGTGACATCACTGGGCAACCTCAGTGGTATTTGTGATTATAGTCATTCATCTGTTGACTTCTGCATCTCTGTCTTTATTGTAAACTCTTGTACGGAGCCTAGAAGTGTATTTTCTCAGTTGTCTGCCCTGTCCTCCTCTTAGAGTCTCTATGGAGTGTCAGCCACAGTGGATTTGAAAGAGCGCTCGTCACTCTCTTTCTCTTCACCTTTCATCTTGATGTAGGCAGAAGCCACCCTCAGAGAAGACATGGGTGAGATAGAGGTTTACTTCCTAACTCTCTACAAATTGGATCACAAATTCTATTGATTCTGCCACATTTCTAAATCTCTTGCAAATTTGCCTTCTTGTGTATCTTCATAGTGTTGCCTTACACCCTTGTTTCTTCCCTCATTTTGTTTCATAACTGCTTTGCCACTGTGCACCCTCCCCCTACTCTAATTGAAATACTCATAGCTAAAGGTAGAGTGCTTATTTGTTTCATTTATATGTAAAATGTTTTGCACGCATTCTTTTCTAACAATCCCAACAGGTCATTATACTTCCTTTTACTTTGGTAGCTTATCCAGCTTCTCTTCTCAGCACATGGTCCTAGCCAGTTCACTTTAGAACCATTTCCTGGTTTCCTGTGCCATCTTAGGTTTGCTTTTAAAATCCTTCTTGAGCTAGTCTTGTCTTTACTCGTTCCTCTTGCTCTGTTTTGCAGCCTTGCTCTTTCAGGTCTATTGAATTTCTTGGTCTTTTTTTTTTTTTTGAAGGCGTCATACTTTCTTATCATTTTTTTGTGTTTAAACATGTTGCTGCCTCCACTTTGATCCCTGCCTCTGCCCCTTCAAGGCTTAAGTGACATCTCAAGCCATATCCATCAACTCTTTCACTATCTTGTGTTCTACTCCCGTGACATGCTGTTTATACACTTGCTCTATTAATAAAAAATATATTCCTCAACTTAATTCTTGGGATAATTTAGAATTATAGAAACAACAACAAAAGTAGCATGAGTCCTTTCAAAGTCTACACTAGTTTCCTTGTCGTTAGCATGCCAGGCCAATGTCGTAAGTAAGAAGTTAACGTTAGTACCTTGCTGTGGACTGAATTTCATGCATCAGGATATTTCTCTGGTTTTGTTTGTTTTTCTCTGGCCTTTTTGAGACACCCTTGAGATTTCGTATCTGTCTTTATGATAGTTTGTCTTCAGAGCCAGGAACTCACAACTGCTTGTGCTGATTTATTTCCTTGCATAGAGTATCGTATCAAAGAATGCTCTGCAGTATCGAGGAAATTCCCAGCATGATGCCCAGGAGTTTCTGCTATGGCTTTTGGATCGAGTTCATGAAGACCTCAATCATGCTGTAAAGCAGAGTGGCCAGCCTCCTCTGAAGGTGAGTGCATGTACTCACTCCTCATACAGTCGGGGAGTGGGGGAAGGGCTAAGGAGAGGGAAGTCTTCTCACAAACTTCTGTTAAGGGCTTGTTGCATTAAGCAGAGTGACTAGCTGCGGGTGAGTGTAAAACTAAGTGGGCATTTCATGGATATTTTACCTGCTTATCGTGCTGCCAGTGAAAGGTAAAGGACAACTGTACCTAAGGACTTCACAGTCTGATGAAGGGAACCAGATGCTTTCTATTCTAGTAAGACACATACTGTATAGATCAATAGAACAAGTACACAGTCAAAAAGGAAATGTATGAGTACCTCTGCTGTTAGACTTGGATCTGAGCATAGGAACTGAGTCCGGAAGGGTTTTACTGAAAAACATAGCAGTTCACATATATAGCTTTTTCATGTGCAGCCTTAATATTATAGGTAAAATGGTTCATAGAGTAGGAAGAGTACTTCTGTAGAGCTTTTGAAGTTTGTGACAAGTCTGTTCAGTATTTCAGAATTTCTGGTTTTAGAAAGTTAGTGGATTATTCTGACTTAAGGTCCTTTTGTTTCATAACTGTGTCTACATGGTTGACTCTGTCACCATATTAAGACATCCTAAAAGCCAGACACTGTTTTACTTGCCCTAACATCCTGTATAATGTTCTCTAAATGTGGTAGCAGATGCTTATTAGCTAGGAACATGAAAAGGTTAAATAAAACATGAAGCAGACTGTGATTAAGCATCAAGATGAAGATTGGAACTTTCTAGGAAGGAGAGCTGGCCAGTCTCCCAGCAGGCTAGAGAAATGCAGTTGTCTGTGTGAGGGAATGAGTCCATGTGACCTGCAGGCTGTGTGCTGTGTACAGAAGCATCTGGGGTCTATATACAGCTTATAAAGGAAGTTGAGTATTTGTGATATTTTAAGGTTCAACTTCAATCAAGAAGTGGTACCTTAGGCCCATGAATTGTAGCTTTTTTTTTTTTTAGCCACCATCAGAGACTGATATGATGCCTGAAGGACCATCTTTTCCTGTGTGTAGCACTTTTGTACAAGAACTTTTTCAAGCCCAGTACAGGTAAGAGCAAATGATATGTTTGTTACCTCTTGTTTTGTCTGCTCGACGTAGTTCTGTGTGACCTTATGTGAATGTTTTACATTTTTGTTTTCAAAGATCTTCTTTGACATGTCCTCATTGTCAGAAACAGAGCAACACTTTTGACCCTTTCCTGTGCATTTCTTTGCCAATTCCACTACCCCACACAAGGTAAGAATGTATGTATAAAATTAACTGTCTGCTGGGATGGGGCACTTCTCTGTAGCCTCCAGTGAAGGCCTTTTACTGTTAAGTAATAGGCTTAATGGTAATGAACACAAGCCTTGTTACATTCTTGAAACTAAGTGCCTGTCTGAGTGTACAGGCTGAGCAGGCACTTGATACAGGCAAGCCCATTTTTCCCCCCACTAGTCCTAGATTCTCTGGAGACCCTTCTTGTACTTATTTCAGATTTCAGAGTTTCCAGAAATTAGGTTGTTTTGAAGAAAAAGACAGAACCAATTATGAATGTGTTTCTTGAAAAATATTTTTATGAAGATTGCTTTTTCAAAGATCTTTTGACTTGTTTGGTAGTTTCTAGTTAGGTCTAATGAACTTTTCCCATTTGGCTTCTAAATAAAGGGGATGTTAGCTCAGTTTCTTTTGTTTTTAGATAGAGGCTCATGTATCACAGGCTGGCTGCAAACTTGTGTAGCTGAAAATGGCCTTGAACTCCCACTCTCTTGTCTTTAGGTTCTAAGTGCTGTAGTGGCGGGGTTATGTCCCTATTTCTGGTTTACGTCATACTGGGGGGATGCAGGGCTGTGCATGCTAGGCACCTGAGCTGTCTCAGGCCTCATTTTAGTTTTTGTGTTGATTTCAGGTTAGGTTTGTTTCACTTTTTCTGTATTTTAGCTAAAATAAGTGACTAATGAGAAGATCTGACTTTGATCTGTACAGGCCTCTCTATGTCACTGTAGTGTATCAAGGGAAATGTTCCCACTGCATGAGGATTGGTGTGGCTGTGCCTCTGTCTGGGACTGTTGCCAGACTTCGGGAAGCTGTGTCTATGGAGACAAAGATCCCCACTGATCAGGTAATAATTTGCTAAGACCAACTATACATGAGCCACTATACTGTTGGTTTCTGCTTATCTGGATTTTTTTTTTCCATTTTCAATTTTCTGCCAAATATGTTAGAAATTGAACATTGTGGGGAGGATGGCTAGATGGGGGGAAATCCAGACTCAAAGAATACAGTGTATAGAAAACACTTGCCTGCTTCAATTAATCATATATATGAAAAGAAAACTATTTTGTGCAAGACCTTGTGGCTTGCTTTGTAAAGTGTAATTACTTAACCTTTAACACTACTGTGGGATTTGACAGAGAGGTTTAGAAATCCTCCTCTGTCATGGTGGTGAGAATAGGCATCCTGCTAGTATGATGTTCTGTATATAGTGTATGTTCATTGTGCTGCTTTCCAGCCCCTGTTGTGGCACTGAGGTTTGAACCCAGGGCCTTACTACTGCTAGGAAGTGCTCTATATCGGAGTTATACCTGCCACTCTGTTTTGTTTCCTTACAAAGTCTTTTGTTGGATAGGGAAAAGATGGGTTTCCACTTTTGGTGAATAGTGAAGGGGACACATCTTTGATAAGTAGTTATGTTTAAATTGAACAAAAAAAATATTTTGGCTTGTTGGGGACTTAACATATTTTACACACAGTTTATATTGGAAAAACATTATGGGGAAACATTCTTTAGGGTTTATAAGGAAGGATGGCTTACTGGTGAAATAGCTTTCCCCTGTATAGCTTTTGCAAGCTTCTATATAATCACTTGGATAATAATAAAGGTATTTTGTTCTTTGGCCTCATTTGGCCCCATTTGGGCCAACTCACTTAAAGCAGTGTTGCCTTAATGTAGCATTTCTCTTCTGTTTTCATAGGCTGAGTACTGGCACGATGATGAAATGTTGGCATTTTCTTTACTTTAAATTGCTGCTTGATCCTTTTTCCTCTCCAGGGAGGGGAGGGCAGAAAGAAGAGAAGTCTTGGTATCTAAGACAAATGCGGCTGTGTCTGTAGAGCCTCAGTGCTGTCTCACTCTTTTCACATGTTGTATAAATTGGTGATATAATTACGAGTTTGCTTTAGCCCTCAGCTTTCTGGAGAGGTCAATTATACTTCCATGCTCACCAGGAGAAAAGCGGCATAAGCATAACATTCCTTAGAAGGAAATGTGCAAAGAGAATTTTTCTTTTTCTTTTTCTTTTTTTCTGGGTCATTTGTGAAACAGGCCTCCAGCCTTTTCACCTCAAATCTGTTGAATGCCAGGACTTTTGAGGTGGTGATGGGGAGGGGCACTGGGAGTTGGTGCCCAGTGGTGCCTCTTCATTCTGTTGAAGAAGGCCCTGTTCAAGAACACAGAGCTGGTTGATGGCAGACTAGACCTCGAACCTTCTCTTGCTCTGCCCAGTCTAGTACTTTTGCACTGGACAGTACAGTTGAACATGCCGCAAAAGCTTTACATGTAGCCATTGTTTTCATCCCTGTCTTTTGTTTTTCTATTTCTTTTTAAAAATATAACTTAGAAATTAAAAGTTTATTACGTATCAGTGCTAAGAAGGTCACTAGCTTTAGTGCTGTGTTATATAGTATTTTTTAGATTTTTTTTCTTGGATTCTATTATCTTTTCTAAAAGTAGAGTTATTACACATCATTCTTAGCTGTTTTTTGGCTCCATAATGCAGATATATGCGATATATGCAGGTCATCCTCTCTAGTAGCTTTCTTAGTCAGCAGGGCTGCATTTAACTAGGTGCTATCTATCATTGGGCATTCGAGTTGATTTTGTGTGTTCCAATATAGATAGCCATGGTCATTTGACTTTTTTTTTTAAATCTTAAAAGAATTTAATGATATGAAAGAATGTCTTAGATTCAGATGTAGTCTGTCTTCTCCATGAGACTGAAAACATGCAAAACCTTAGGCAGCTCTCTGTTTCCATTTTCCTCCTGTGAAACAGAGGAATGAATATAATCTGTCTCCAAACTTGGAGGAATTCTGGATTGATGCCACGGAGTTGTGGATTCAGAGTGTATTGCTACACAGTCATAGAGGCTATTATCCTTCTGAGAGTCTCTCGTTGCCAGCAAATAATGTGGTCTTAGAAGACATTCAGTAACCCCCACTGAGCATTACCAACCTGATGGTCTATGAAGGTCAGGGTAGGATTGAAAGATTATTTTGTATTGAATTTCTAGTTACCCAACTGTTCACATTTTCCCTATCTTTTAGATTGTGCTAACCGAAATGTACTATGATGGGTTCCATCGTTCCTTCAGTGACACAGATGACCTGGAGACAGTTCATGAAAGTGATTGCATTTTTGCCTTTGAGACTCCAGAAATATTTAGACCTGAAGGAATTCTCAGTCAAAGAGGTAAATGATCATGTCTTATAACACACTTGAGTTTGCAGATTTGACCATTGTGGGCATCGAAGTACTGTATGATAGTATACAATTTTAAAAATTGTGATTAAGTGTACATACTATTGTGTTTTTAGATTTTTATTCTCTTTTGTTTGTTTTTCTTGGTGTCAATAAAATTTCTATTTCTTCTATTACTAGTAGTGATCCTTTTGAACCCCACATGTGATTCCTGTGTATTGAACATCTGCCCTTTCACGTGCCTATTCTTTCTTACATGCTTTTACATTACCTGGAAGTCCAGCTCACCAGCTCTTCTCCCTATTTCCTACAAATTTCTGTAAGCTACTTAAGCTCTCTAGTTGTGTGTATGTGTTTAATCTCTGTCCTGTTCCTTTTCCTTTACTCTTAAAAATTTTTAAGCACATTATAAAAACATCCTTCCCCAAGTTACTCAGAGAGCAAGGCTTATTTCTTTTTCTTTTTTTAAAATGTTAGCAACAACTTTTTATTTGGGTTCTTCTATTTCTGACATGAATTTTTACTTTGATTCTTCGATGCCCTTCCTCCCAGTCAGTCAGGTGGATTTTTTTTTTTACACCGTTACCTCTAGTAAATCAGTGTTCCCATATTTTATTCCCCTTTTGTTATTTTTCTGTATCTATCTCATTGCAACAGGAATTTTTGTTTCTGTGCTCAACGATAAATAAAAATACAAATTTAAGACAAAGACAGTAGAAGAAATCTCAAAACTATTCCTTTAAAAGAAAAAAAAAGGCATAACTGAAAGAATACCCCGACTTCTTTTGTAATTAAATAAAAAATATATTTGTACCGAGTCAGATACCAACAATATAGACAGACAAATAACTGAGTCAGAGTGTCCCCAGTAACGGCTTCCTCTAGTGAACCCTTATTTCCTTGGGTTTGCACTGCTTCTTAGTAGTGTTTTTAGCTGGAAACCAAGACTTCAAGTAGATGGGCCTGTAAAGGACATGTTGGCTAACTCTTCTGGATTACAGAGCTCCAGTGATTGCTTCTGCTCATCTGGCATGCGTATATGGAAATGATCTTGTTTCCTCTGTGTCTCACTATACTGGCATTCTTTGGAGTGCTGGTCATGTGATGGTTTATCTTTTTATACCTAGCAGTTTCTAATATGCAGCAAGAGTCTAGCTAGTGATTTTAAACTGAAAAATCCCCCAGTTCAGTCCCTGTTCCTTGATTGCTTTCGGTTTATCTTATCTTATCTGTACATTAATGAATCTCACATCTATACCGTACTCTGTCTAGAACATGCCTCTGTTGAAGGGTGCACCACTTGCAAGCATTTGTTAGACTATGATGTAAAGACGTTATGAGTGCTCTAGTTAGTAGCAACATGTGAGAATGTTCCTCACTCTGGGAATGACAGCTGTGAATTAGAGAGGTTAAATCACTGGTCCTAGGGCCCATCTGTTAGAAAACACAGGCTGTGATTTGAAGAGCGGATCTTTGCAGCAGCTGAACAGCGTCCCTTTATCTCACTAGAAATCCTGATAACTTCATACATTTACCTTTGCCAGGAATGAGGTAATTTGTTGTTTTAGATTTGGTTTCTGTTATCTTTATTTTTTCACATTACAGTTTAAAATGATTATAAAGTGATACCTACTCTTCTTCCTTTGGGATTTCTTTATGGTATTTATGCCTAAAGTATGTTCTTTCTTTTAGTAGCTTGATTAAAGTTCAGGTTTTTAATTTCTAGTGATTTTTTCACATATTTAATTATCTGGAGTTTATTTTGATATTAGCCATGTACTTGTCATTCAAATTATTATAGTGCTGCTGTATCTTAACAGCAAGTATTAGATTGCTAGCTACTTAGCATACTGCCAGAACTGTGCTGTGAATGCTTTTCTATAAGCTTTTTTATGTTCTTCTTCTAGTGTTATTATTATTGGTAATGCTGGCAGAAAGCCTTTTCCTCTTATGAGGGTACATTTCACTAGGTGACATCCTTTTGAAAGAGTAAAGGAATTAACAGATATTGCCATTAATTAACTACAGAGTCTTGTGATAGGTATTGAATAGCTGGATGGATGGCCCTGAATAACAGGAAGCTCTGCTGTAGAACACTGAAGATTTGTGCTGTCTGTCAGGCATTTGTGTTCTTGCTAATATGGGTTGCTCTGTTCTAGTTATGTTCTCATAACAGTTCTGGATTAGTAAGTGCAGTTTTGTCTCTTGTTATGAAAATCAGGGACAAGAAACTGCTAGTGAAACCTTGTAGATGATTCTAAATGTTGTCTACATTGCTTTTGGAATGCATTTGATGACTGGTTACTGAACCTAAATTCTAGTTATATTTGTGGGTCATTCCAGTAAACTTGGCTTCAAAATTTTCTGACTGTGTCTTGTGGAAAATTCTAATTTTCAATTTTAAAGGTAGGGAAGCCTACTTTAAAGGAAACAATGAATGCTGATACCTAGCCTGATGGCTAGATGAGTAATGTCATAGTAGTGTTTGTCCCTATTTTTGATTGTGGTTAAATTATAAAATGACAGTTTCTTATTATTTCTATTTCTATTTTTTGTAATGAATAAATGAAAAGAATCTTGAAGAGATAAGTTGAACTGTTTTTATTCTGTTTCAGGCATTCACTTAAATAACAATTTAAACCACTTGAAATTTGGCTTGGATCATCACAGACTATCTTCCCCACCATCAACAGCAGCAAAACAAGGAAAAGTGGACTTGCCCACCAGAGTGGCAAGCGACAAGATTGTTCTGCTTGTGTGTAACCGGGCCTGTACTGGGCAGCAAGGGAAAAGGTAAGAGCCAGATTATTTCCCAATAAATACTGGCTTTTTTGAGACTACATGCTTTAAAATCTTTTGAAAGGAGGGATGAAAAAAATCTACTTTTAGTGGGAGTTTTGTTTTGGTTTTGAGATAGGGACTCATTGTGTGTCCCGGGCTACCCGTGAACTCCTGATACTCTAGCAGCTCCTAAGTGCCATTATGCCTAACTGCAGTTAATTTTCTACTCTATTATTCAGAAGGAATCTTTGTATAACTTGGTTTAGTTTGTTGTATTGGGAAGGGAAAAGATATAAAATTAGTGTGTTAGTATTTGAAAGATATTTATTTTAAAGCTTACTTAAACTGGTCTGTGGTGGCTCATGCCTTTAATTCCAGCACTCAGGAGGCAGAGGCAGGTGGATCTCTGTGAGTTTGAGGTCAGCCTGGTCTACAGAGCAAGCTCCAGTATAGCTAGGGCTACACAGAGAATCCCTATCTTGGGGGAAAAAAAAGAGAAAGAAAGAAAGGAAGGAAGGAAGGAAAAAAGCTTGCCTAGATTTTGAGAACTTATGTCCTGTGTGTATTAGGCTTTTCTTAGAATTCTGAGCCTGTGTCTTAAAACTTAAAAGTCTTAACATATCTCTTTATATGGTACATGTTCCCTAGACTTATGTCCCAAATTGAACTCATTATCTTTCTCTTCCAATATTTCCTGTTTTGGCAAACGGCACTATTATTCATTCAGCATTCTAAGTCAGAAATATGGGAGTCAGAAACCTCTCAAATTTCTCTGATGCCCTCTTTAAGAATTTATGGGAACCATAGAATATCTTCAAAGTAGCTTTATCACAGAAGGGTCTCCTGAATGAGAACAGCAGATGAATATGTTTCAGAAGGACTCAAAGGATTTTTTGTTTTGTTTTGTTTGTCTGTTTTTGCTAGTCAGGATAATCATTATTTGAGCCTTTTAAAATTTCACTTTGAAATTAGTTCCTTGGGTAGTAACAAACATAAAAATGTCACATGCATTAATGATATGAACAAAAATGTTGATACTTACAGTGTTCAGGCGCATTGTTGTAAACCCTGGGAATGTAGAGGTTCCCTTTTCTCATGAAGCTGAAATCCTAGTTAGGCCAACCAAAACCTTGTAAACACATTTAACTTCAGGTAGTTGTCACCATGTTGAAGACACTGACACAGGCTAAAATGATAGTGTGTTTGAAGGACAGGAAGGCATCTCACTGGAAGGAATGTGTCCCAAGGAGAAGGAGTGAGCTGTGGGAACATCTAGGGAGAGGTCCCATGTCGAGGGCCCCAATGCAGACTAGGAGTGTGACATGTTTAAGATAATAAATGGAAAGGAGCTTGTAGACCTATAAAATCCCCTTTGTGGTACCAGGCTCTTAGAGTGAAATCGTTCGTTGCCTTTTGATAGGAAGCTGTTTCATCCATGGAGACTTTCAGGCAAATAGCTTCAGTGTTACTGTTGTGAATAAGTCACTAGATGGCCTTTAGGAATGATTTTTCAAGAACCACTTGGCATCCACCCGAGGCTTCACAGAGTTCATCTTTTAGTTAGATTTGTCATTCATGCTGTGACTCATTCATTCAGCAGCTTCTGTTTTATGTGCATTGGTTGTTTAGGCTGCTAAGGTAAGTAGCCATTAATTTCTAGCCATTAGTCTGTTAGTAAAGTGTCCTAATAGCGGTTTCTATTGCTGTGGTAAAACACCATGACCATGAAATTCAGTTTCAAGGTTACACTTCATCTATGAAGGAAGTCAGGGCAAGAACCTGGAGACAGGATCTGGAACAGAAATTGTGAAGGAATGCTGCTTACTGACTTATTCACCATAGTTTTCTGAGCCTGCTTTCTTATGGCACCTATCTAGGACTACCAGGTCAAGGCCACAGTGATCTTGGCCCTCCTACATCAGTCATTAATCAAGAAAATGCTTCACAGACCAATATGATGGGACATTTTCTCAATTGACATTCCTTCTTCCAAAAAGAATCTAGCTTGTATCAACTTGATGTAAACCTAACCAGCGCATGAGGATGGAAAGTCAGGCAGTGTTTATAACCCAGTGGCTAGTGCTGTGGTTTGTGGGGAATGAGGGTATCATACAGATGGGCAGCAGAAAACATAGGAGGGTGGGGAGGGTATTCTGTGCTGAGGGAATGTGGTCTGCATCTGGGTGTATAGAGAAGGAGACATTCAGGGATCAAAACATAGACTTGAACAACTAGGGCATGAATTGAAACTGAGACCAGAACAATGGTTCTCAACTTTAACTGCGTATTGGAACTACCTGAGGTATATTCAGAAAAGCCTGAGTGCTAGATCACATTCCAGACTGACTTCATTAGAATCTCTGGAGCTGGTTTGAGCAACAGAGATTTTTAATGCCCCTTTGGTGATTTCAGATGTAGCTAAGACTGGGAACTATAGTATTGTCTCTGATTTTATGTGGTATAGGAACCTGGCAGAGCCCAGCTGACTTCTGCCCTAGTTAGGAAGTGACTTCAGGTGTCGCTTGCTTGGTAGTGCCTATCTTGTCAGTACCAGGATGTCGCTACCTGCTTCTTAGACCTTCTAGCCGTGCCCCCTTCCTGCTTAACTGTGCTCCACAGAGGCCATTTACTCACCTGAGAGATCTAAGCTGTTCTTCTGACCTTGTCTTTTGTGAGAGTACCATTACTGTTTTTTATGTTTTTTTGTTTTTGTTTTGTTTTGTTTGAGAACTGTCCTAAAACTAGTTAGACTGTGATCCAATTTAAAAAGACCAAGAATAAGGGATTGCAACTCTGAAGGGATTGCTGTATTTTAAGGCGACCCTGTTGTTTGTGTGGTAGATTTGGACTGCCTTTTGTCCTGCACCTAGAGAAGACAGTAGCATGGGACCTTCTGCAGAAGGAGATCTTGGAGAAGATGAAGTATTTCTTGAGGCCTACTGTCAGCATCCAGGTTTGTAAGCATTTTGCTATCCCAGTAGAACATGATTTTTACTCAGAAGCAGCATTCAGTACATTGAAACTGGCTTTATTGGGACTTACCACCAGTTTCTGAAAGGAGTTGCTGTTGTAGAAGGCCGCTTGAACTGCTCTGTATCCTGTCATGGTGCCTGTCTAGTACAGCTGGCATATGGTCAACTTGAGATGATATAGAACTTCTATCTGTAAACTTTAAAAATCACTGAGCTAAGGTATCCATAAAAGACCATTTTAGTGTTCAGTGAAAGCAATGGAATACTTAAATACTTGATAAGTACGTTGCATTTGAGTGCATTGTACTTACTTAAAGTGAAGGAGTATTTTGTAAGGTGAGCTATTTGTTGTATCTGATGTATTTTGGAAATGCCACTGTGAAACACACCCTTGGCTAAGTCCAGCCTAATTCTCATTTGTCATTTGATACAGGTGTGTCCATTCAGTTTGCGTGTGGTCAGTGTTGTGGGAATAACATACTTGCTGCCTCAGGAAGAGCAGCCCTTGTGCCACCCGACAGTAGAAAGGTAAAAGACAAACACAAAATGATTTTCAAGAGTCTCACATGTGCTCATGTAACATTTGATCTGATTTCTGGTATAATTTCCATGTAAGTTCCTTAAGTTCTTTAAGGCCATTTAGAGGTTAAATACTTGTCACCTTGATTTGTCGTGCATTGCTGATACCCATGGAGGCCTGCCCCTTTCTGAGCAGAAACAGAGGAGAAGGGGCAGAGGGAACGATGGGGAGGAAATGGGAGGAGATGGGGGGACGACTGTGTGGTCAGGATGTAAAACAAACAAACAAATAATAAAAAACTAACAAGTAAACAGAAAAAAATTAAGTACTTGTTTTACTTTTGGCTCATACTAGGTACAGCGTTGTCCTAGTCAGGGTTACTACTGTTGTGATGGAACACCATGACCAAAAGCGAGTCTGGCGAGGCTTACATTTCCACATTACTGTTTAGAGTTGATGAGAGTCAGGACAGGAACTCAAGTAGGGCAGGAAGCTGAAGGCAGGAGCTGAAGCAGAGGCCATGGAGGAGTGCTGCTTACTTGTTTGCTCTTCATAGCTTATGCAGCCTACTTTCTTAAAGAAGCCAGGACCATCTACCAAGGGTGGCCCTACCCACAATGGACTGGGCCCTCTCACATCAATCACTAGTTTAAGAAAATATCCTATAGGCTTGCCCACAACCCAGTCTTATAGAAGCATTTTCTCGGTTGAGGCTTCCTTTTCTCTAATGACTCTAGCTTGTGTCAAGTTGTCATAAAACTAGCCAGCACAGAAGTATTCTATGAGCTTTCTTGAAATTAAAGTAACTCATGTTAGGAAGATTTAAAAGAAAAAAAGAAGAAAAAAATACACATGCATGCACACATGCTCACAAACACACATGTGTATGTATGCATGCATGGATGAATAAATAAGTAAATGATAAATAAATTACACTCTCATTCACAAAGATTGAAGTGTTCTAGGCTAATGTTCTCGTTGTGCCCTGGTCATTGCCCTTACCTGGTAACTTGTGATCTAGAAGGTAAAGCCTATATCCCATAGTTTGAACTCTCTACTTCTCTTTGGTCAGGTCTTTTTGCTATCCCTCTCCCAACTACTCCAAACCTGTCTTTGTCTTCATTGTACTGATGATTATTTGAACATATGACACTGTCCATAATTCCTTTACTGTGAAAACATTTATTGTTCCTCCTCCTCTGATGGAATTAGTTGTTCTACTTTTCTACTCCTGTGATTTTATACATGATGTTCTATTATCTTTATATTATCTGTTGTACTAGCAGATATATGTATATAGACTGTCCACGTGTGGCTACATAAATATGAAAAGTTACATTATTTTTATTGTAATGATTTTCAACACATACTTTTTTAAAAAAACACAAGCTAGTCATGGTAGTCCTTGACTATAATTCCAGTACAGGAAGATCAGGATTTGAAGGCTGTCCTTGACTATATGGTAAATTTGAGACACGGGGTATGTGAGACAGTGTCTCACTTCCCCAACTACCATTTTTTTTATCAGTATTGTCTTGTTTGAAATGTCACTATTTGATTGACATGAAAGTAGCAAAATAATCTAAAAATATTGCACAGCATAATAAAAGTTTAGTAATATTAGCCATTAGTGATGAGTTTCTCAAAAAATGGTGATGACCAGTGAATTGGCTGGTTTGTATTTATGGAGGAGGAAGGTACAGGGGAGTTGACATGGACATAAGGTAGGCATAGTGGGGTGGGGTTGGGCAAGTGTGAGAGCAGACTGTTCCCAGGAAATGGAGTCTAGTCTCTGTGTGGGTAAGACAATGGGCAAAAGTTGGAAAGGTAATAAATAATATCTGAGAGTATGCAAGCAAACTTATGGAATGATGCTAAATTTCTTCCACTCTTATTTCTATATTGAATGTTTTAATTTAAGGATTTTCCATTCTACTTGTAAACTAGTTACAAAATCAGAGGCTACATTGATCTCATTTTCTAATGAAGAACTATTAAGATTTTCTATGATTACTAGATTCTAGATAGACTATGATGACATTTAAGCGAAATCTTTCTTTTAGAAAATAATATGTGGCTCTACTCTGATTCTTTAGGGCATTAAAGTCCTGTGGACCAGGTGGCACCGCTCATGTGAAACTGGTAGTAGAATGGGACAAGGAGACAAAAGATTTGTGAGTTGTTTTTTTTTTAAATTACCATTTTGGCAGCACACAGATCTTTCAGTTTAGCTGTAACATGCAAGTCTTAGCATTAAATGAGTATTTTAAGTGTGTTTTAACCCTTTATTAAAGCACATTTTTTCTTTTCCTGACTTTCCAAGGCTCAAAATTGTAGAAAATTTACTTGCTGCTGAGGGAAAAGCCATATGTTCATTAATTGCTGTGTATGTTGATTTACTTTGATTTTTTGTTGTTGTTGTTGTTACAGTATCATTAGCTCTTGTAGGCTTATAGCAGATAGGATCAGATGTGTTTAGGATTTTACAGCTGTAGACTAGTAAGCTTGTGTCAAATGCATGTCCTTAGATACCTTAGACAAGAATGAATGATTTAAGCAGCATGGATGGAGAGAGAGAGAGAGAGAGAGAGAGAGAGGGAGAGAGAGAGAGCGAGCGAACACACGCGCGCGAGCTCTGGTTAAGAGCACATACTGCTCTTGCAGAAGAATTAAGTTCAATTCTTACACCTGTGTCAGGAGGCTAACAACAGCCTGTAGTTCTGACTTCAGGAGAACTGACACCTCACCTCTGACCCCCATGGGCCCCTACGCTCACATGTACATACCTACATAGATACACTTACATACACATAATTAAGAACAAAATAAGAACAATCATGGACAGTTTGAGAAAAACTAACTCCAAGTTAACTCTTAAAATAACTTTGCAGATGGAATAATTTCCAAAAATATTTTGGAATGTAGAAGAGTTGAATAGCTATATTCTTATGCATTGATCGTTTGGGTTATGAGTTCATAGCTACTTTGAAAAGCTCTTGTGTCTGTTTTATAAGACATTCTCTGAAAGCTGCCTATCCCCTGAATTGCAGCTTGTTTATAAACACTGAAGATGAATATATCCCTGATGCAGAGAGTGTCCGTCTTCAGAAGGAGCATCATCATCAGCCACAAACCTGCACTTTATCCCAGTGTTTCCAACTCTACACCAAAGAAGAACGGGTAAGATGCAGGTCTGCAAGATGACAGTGAGATTAGTCCTACCCAGGAAAACATATCCCATGCCCCAGGAGTTTGCATTCCCATAGACTCTACACATTAAATGGGCATACATATTTAGTGTTAGTCATTTTAGGGCTTTAATATGAAGTGACTTAAATTTTTGAGTGTTTGGAATGCTGTAGAAATAAGCCTTTGTAATTGTTTTATTTTTAATGATTAATACATTTTTTGTTCGTTTCAGTTAGGAAGTCTTAAATTACTTTCCTTAGTAATGAACACTTTTCTCAAATATTTTTGTTTTATTTTTGTTTTGTTTGATGTTTTGTTTTTGGGACAAGGTTTCATAATGTAGTCCTAGATGGTCTAAAAATTGCTATGTAGATCAAGATAGGTATTTGGGGGCATTTGGACTGTCCTGTGAATGAGGTATTGGGCTTAATTTTATGTAAAGAACAAAATCTAAAGGATGGGAATGCTCAAGAGAGTGATCTTGTCCTGCCATAAGAAAGTCTGTATGTCTGCAGAGCGAACTCCTTCATTGCCAGGAAGACTTGATAGACCAGGAATACTCAAGAATGTAATTGCCTGACCTGGGAGCTCTTTCCAACAGTTTATAGTCAGTACAGAAACCAGAGAAATGTTTTAGAAACTATCAGAATGATTAGATGCTATGACATTAATACTATATTTCATTAAAGTATCTGTTTATAATGTGTTGGGATTTAAACAGACAGAAACTTAACTTTTGACAAAAGTGTGAAGACTACATACCCAATAAAGGGAGTACTAATATGCCGCATGAGATGTAGACTTACTAGATGATAGTCTGGGCCCCTTTCATCTGGCTTTCTGATAACTCCTATTTACCCAGACTTCCGCCCTTCTGTCTGCCAATCTTTTCTGTGAACGTAATATAATTGCATCATTATGAAAACTGAGCTTTTCAATTGTGCTTCCCTTTTAAGTTATTGGACTGGTTTCTCCTCTATTCTACCCAGATTTTCTGTTGGTAGCCTTCTTGTCCTCCCCAAAGCCTCTTCTTGTTTATCTGATTTGAATTAGGAATAGTGCTCTGTGAGGTTTTCAGTGGCCTCTGCTCAGGCATCATTTGATCACCTCATGGTGCATGGCACTAATGACCACATGTTCTCGCCACTTTTTCTTTTTTTCTTGCTTTACCTAAAGGGAATATGTCTGAGTTCCGTATTTTGTTGTTGTATTTTGTTTGTTGTTTTGTATGGGGAGGAGGGGGCTGGATCTTGGTGGCTTCTGAGGTTGGTTATTTCTCTTAAAACATTTTCCCCAATTTTCTAACTTTGGCTCTTTCTCTTACATTATGGTGGGGATTATCTTCGTTCCCAGAGCTTTCCTTACCTCATTTCGTGTGTGGACCTAGGTTGGATGTTGCCTCTCTAGCTGGATTTTTCATGCTTTTAATACTTTTAAGTTGACATGTCCCTACTCGCCCATTTAGAGATGCTGTATTTAGATATAGAGTATTGGACTGATGTTTGGAAAAGCACATTGAGAGTATATGGGGAGGATTGTTTGGAACAGTTCAGTGCTACTGGAGGAGAGAATGGTTAGGACACATCAAGTGTTGGTGAGAGTGAGCAAGAACTTGGAGTGGTGTAGTCATGCAAGTTAGTGTAGTGAAGAGTCAGACTCAGAAATGAAGGGACCTAGTGGGGTGAAAGGAAGAAGAAAAGGGGAAGTGCTTGGGGCTTGGGATAGCCTGCTATGTTCCACCTTGGTTGGCAGTAGTAGAATTTGCTCAGGTAAGATATTCTAGACCAAGAAAGTTCATATTGATCTAAAGGTGATAAGTTGCAATTGGGGGCACACTGGACTTGTGGTGCTTCTGAAACAAGAGCATTTAGCCATTCTTTGAGGAAGGGAGGTTTAGCACTCATCTGGATTTGTCCACACTGGCCAGGTGCTACTTGTGATTGTGTTATCCCATTGGCTGTCCTTCTGTGCAGCTTCCAGAGAGATGCTGAGTGATACCAGGCCCTGGGCAAGAAAGTAGTTCAGCTGTCTGCCATGACAAAGACTTTGATAATGTGGTGCCTAATGGAAGTCCTGCTCCTTGTTTCCAGCTTGCTCCAGATGACGCATGGCGATGCCCACACTGCAAGCAGCTGCAACAGGGGAGCATCACATTAAGCCTGTGGACTCTGCCTGATGTGCTTATTATACACCTCAAGAGATTCCGCCAGGTGAGAAAACCCTGTCACTGGGGAAAGCTAGCATGACCTTGTTTCTCTTGACTCCTGTTGGTGGTTTGTGTGGGTTCTTTGATGACCCTGTTAGATTCCCCCACTGCTGCTGTCTGAATGTCTCCACATGTTTGACCGACCCTATCCATAGTCATTTTCTAAAGCAAAATTTGAGTATTCTGTGATCCTTTAAGTCCTGAATATTTTGTTCACGTAAGTTTATGTACGTGTTTTTCTTTATTCTTGAGGGTTTGCTTTAGACTTGTAAATGTTTTCCTTAAATTTTAGTGTGTTTACTTTATGATTGAGAAGAGATCCTTTGTGAGAGAGGTAGAATTCCTAATTCTCCCTAATGTAATAAAAAGTATTGCCCTGCTTCATGGAGCTGTTATATGGTGTGGGGGGGTGAGTAATAGATACAGGTATCTGCTTTTTGTTGTACTACTTTGTGAGTCACTTTTCCCAAAAAGTCTGTCTACCTTTTGAGGTGAGGAATGTCCTAGACAACCCCCATTGTAAGAGAATTTGATGAGATGTGAACTGAGGTGAGCCTTTGTGGCCTGAATTCAAGAGAGTTTGTGCCTGAAAAGTGAGCAGCTGTTTACTAGATGAGAAGGAGAAGCAGGACTGCACCTTCATGTGACAGAATAAGCAGTTTATGCTGAGCCTGGGGCCTGACGAGGCTGAAAACAGGGCAGTGGGGTGACACACTCCAGATGATAGGTGATGGGCGCTAAGATGGAAGAGAAAGGCAGATAGACAGCAGTTGTTCAAGCATATCCTTATTTTAGTGAAGAGCTTTGAACAGAAGCAGCAGTTGCCAAATGTGTGTTTTGAAGTGATCCTTTCACTGTTGGGTGGGTAGCAGATGAAAAGTTGCAAGTGTTGCGGGCATCATGAAGGCTGCTGCTGACTTAGGATAGAGTTTTGCAGTAGGGATGAAGAAGTGTGCAGACTTAAGATGGAACAAGGCTGACACACCTAATCCCCAGGCCTGGGTTTTTCTAAGCACCAAGGTGGAACTTAGTTGACTACTCCAGATTCCCAAAACTTTCTAAATTTCAGAGCTGGGCTTCTGTGATAATGAAACATGGCACTTGCCTTGGGCATCCAACTTGGGTTCTTCAAATTGATTGAAACTTCCAGTCCAGCTTTCTTCTCTGTCTTCTTCCCCTAATGCTAACGAATTTCCTTCACTTTTCCTTCCAGAATCCCAGACTCAAAACGGAAGTGTCATCTTTGACGCTCCTTCTTATCATCTAATCTAGATAGCCACTTGTGCAGATTGACTTGGCGTTTCCATGGATTCTTTGCGTATCTCCTCCTGTTTGCTGTCACCCTACCACTAAATGACTTTCTGTTATTGCTCAGGTGGTTGCAGTTGCAGTCTTTTAATTGATTTCTTAGCCTTTATAACTGCCCTTCCTAACACGTTGTACACACTGCTCACAATTCTTCACTGTCAGTTCTGGTGACATCACTTCCTTCTGGCAAGCCTCAGTGCTGCCCTCGTGACTACAATAAGGCCCTGTGCTTCATCCTGGCCCCCATTCAGGAGCTTTTCTCCTATGAGTGTATATTTTCCTTTAATAGAGCCATCATAAATCCTTGGAATGTTCACATCCATGTCTGATTAGTTTGTTAAATGTTCTCTTGGACATAGAAGACATGCAATAATATTCATTCAACAGATTTTTAGGTTTCAAGGATATTCCAAAGGGTTTAATGGAAAATACAGATTCTTCAAGATTGTTGGTTAAATAGCTAAGTTCAGCCAAGTAAATGTGCTTGTTGGAGAAGTAGGGAGGAACAGATCACTGCTTATTGAATACCTCTTCTCTGCTAGGTGTTGGGGTTTGCCCTTTACGTAGTTATGTTGTTTATCTTCTGGCATCTGACAGAAGTGTCAGGGTGAATCACCTGAAATTGTCACTTTTCTCCTAAGCTTGCCTCTCCCCCACCCCCAAAAGCTTTGACAGATAAAGCAATGAAAATCCAGAGGTTCATTTTCCCCAACATGCTGATCCTCATTGGTTCTACTTTAAGTGGTACTAAAGCTTATTCCCGTACACAGTTAAAACTGTCAGTCTATTTCCCTATTATGTGTCTTGGGGAAATCAGAAGGTGATTCAAAGAGATTTAACTGACAGAGCCCATATTTCATGCTAAACTGATCTTCCATCTGCTTGCATTAAAATGTCATCAGAACTTGTTTTTCTTCTTGCAACAGGAAGGAGACAGGCGCATGAAACTTCAGAACATGGTCAAGTTCCCTTTGACTGGCCTGGACATGACACCGCATGTGGTTAAGAGAAGCCAGAGCAGCTGGAGCTTGCCATCTCATTGGTCCCCATGGAGACGGCCCTATGGACTCGGGAGGGACCCTGAGGACTACATCTATGACCTGTATGCTGTGTGCAATCATCATGGCACCATGCAAGGGGGGCACTACACAGGTCTGCAGTGCGAGAGGCTGCGTGTCTGTGCTGACGCTTCCTTCAGGCTGTTTGCTTGTAGCTTTGAACCTCCCTTTCTCTTTCAGTGTGCCTTTTGCCAGCTCTGAGCAGACCTGATGGGAGAATGTTTGCACGAGACAGCTGAGGAGCCACTCTTGTTTGCCCAGCGTGCCTCCCCATTATAGCTATGTGATGCTTTTGAGGCTCTAGCATCTCCCTAACTTAGAATGGTCATGAGCCACTTTCATGATGGCTTTATTCTTTAAGGGTAAATTTACTTTTGCATTATAAAAGCATAAGAAGTCTAGAGAGAGGTAAAAAGAGTGCTATTGTGAAATGGGCTTGTCAGGCATAGCGAGATAAAAGGCTATTAACATTTAAAAAATTATGGTTAAAATATACATAATTAAACTTAGCATTTTAGTCAGTGTTAAGTGTCCAGTTTGGTGGCATCGAGAACACATTGTTGTCTAGCCACATCACTATCCATTTCCAGAACTTTTTCATCTTTTCAATCAGAAACTCATTAAACAGTAATTTCCATGCTCTCCCTCTTCCAGCCTCTGACAGCCCCATACTCTGACTTGATGAACTTACTATTTTAGGTGCCTCTTGTACATAGGACCACACAGTATTATTAGTTCTTTGTAACTGCTTTATTTTATCGAGCATAATGTCTTTAAGGTTCATCAATAGTAATTCTTCAATACATTTACTATTTTATACTGATGTGACTATATATTGGTCTGTTTCACTCATAAATATTAAATACTTTGTAATTAGCTTGTCATAGATTCTTATCACTTTACAGGTGACTAAATCCCACTGTGTATCTTTTAGGAGTAGAAACAAGTAGGCAGATAGAAATCAAATTTAAGGATATTGCCATGTGTGTAGTAAGTGGTAGTGGAGGTGAACCCAGGAGGAGAAGCTATCTGAGATTGGTAACCTGTTTGTGCAACACTACTGTATGGGCTCAGGATGAGAGCCACATCTTTACAGTGGTCCTGTAAAGATGATATTGCTTAATGATGTGGTAGCATCTTAGCTTTTGTAGTTGTATTAGTGTCTGATGATAGTTGTCTAACATTGAGCTTCTCAGAATGTAGTTCTATTAAGTGACTTGACTTGACTTGTAACTATTCCCATTACTAAACATATATTATTTTCTTTTTAAAATGTTTACTCTAATGTTGATTACTCTCCTTGTATATTCTTCTCATAGCAGTTAGCCACCAGTTCCCTGTGTATTGGCAAGGCGGTAGCCTTTCCAACCTTGCATGCTCTCTTTCAGTTCAGGAGGATAGGAAGATGACCAACTATAATTGTTCATTCTTCAAACCCTTTTAGTTTAACTCTGCCAACAACAGCTGTTTTTGAGAGGAACGACCCAGCCTCTGGGTGTGTTCACAAGAACAGTTTGGCTTCTGCTCATCTGGAAAGTATTTGCAAAGAGAAAAGGTGCTCTCACTTCACAGAAGACGTTAGTAGCTTAAATATGTTTTACCTTGCACTTTTTAAAAACACTATTTAGATGGCAATGCAGTGTTTGTTGTTTTGTGTATTTTTATAGCAGCCACTGTGTGATGATTGCATTTCTATTTGGATACTTGCTTTTCTAACATTACTAGTAATGTCTATGTTCTTGGATGCTGGGTCATGAAATTATATATTCTTTACTCTTAGAGTGGAAAGGGACATAGAAGTAATTGAAATATACTAACTACTCACTATATTAACCTCTTTGCCCACATTTCTGGTTAATATTTACACTGCTTCAGCTTTGGTAGAAAGTCATTTTGCAAAATAGGGACTTATATACTATCTAGGCAAGGAATTGTTAGAAAAAATAGGACAGTGCTAGATTTTAGAATATTATGTTGTTCTTTATTTAGAACAGACTTTGGAAACTACTTGAAAACCCTTAGAAGCAGTGTGTCTTAGTAAAAGGAGCTTGGATGAGATCATAAGAACTAATCTTAGAACTTGTCCAAATCACTTTATTTGGGCCCATGAAGCACAGCGATGAGCAGAAGTGGATTTGTCTGCTCATTGCCCCTTACCTAGGAGGTGCTCATATACTTTAATTAGTTCTTCTCAACCTTCCTAATGCTGCAACCCTTTAACACAGTTCCTCATTATTTTTGTTGCTACTTCATAACTGTAATTTTGCTACTGTTGCAAATTGTAATGTAAATATCTGTGCTTTCTGATGGTCTTAGGTGACCCCTGTGAAAAAGTCATTTGACATGCAGAGGGATTCTGACCCACAGGTTGAGAGCCAATATATTATTTCCTCTTTTCTGTTCTATATGTGTATTTGGGTTTGTGTTTGATGGCCAGAGGACAGCCTTGGGTATTGTTCCTCAGTCTTTGTCTACCTTGTTTTGAGACAGTCCCTTACTGACCTGGGCTGTCCATTGATCCCCAGGTATCTTCCTGACTCTGCCTCCCTAGTAGTAGGGTTCCCACCATGTGCCATGAAAAGTCATCTCTCTTCCTTTCCTGTTCTTAAGGCAAACCATTGCTTTTCTTATCTCTAAATGTTGACAGTTACAGTTTAGAGAAACAACCCTCGGCTTTATGTATTTTTTTTTAAATTACATTTATTTGCTTATTTGTGTTGGGCTATGGCAGTGCATGCAGATATCAGAGGATGCATGTGTGAGTTGGTTCTATCTTTCCATCATATGAGCCTAGCAGATTTTTTTTAGCTGGCGATACTCTGTTTTTAAGTTTTCACTAGAATGTCTTTGATGATTCTTGCTGTAATTGCATGTTGTGTATATAGCTAACTTGTGCAAGGATTCTAGAACAGAGCCTCTCAAACTATCTGTGATAAAGGCCTTGATATTTTCTATTTTAGCATTTCCAAGCCTTCATAAGTCAGTTTTGTAAAAATGCAAATGTTACAGTAGTATCATATTGCTAGATGTTTTTGAATGCTTATCTTTGTTTTGGTGCCTCTTTTTGTGAACAAATGCCGTGCCGTACCACAGCTTGAGTAGCACTGGCCTAGAAAACACTTTGGAAGGCAGTGTTATGGAGAAAAGCAAATAGATTTATAAATGACTACTTCGCTTCTTAGTAAGTTACTATGTGGCCTTTCCATGCCACAGCCAAAACAAACCATCCTGAGAGCAAACAGACTGCACTAGAGCAAGGTTATTCTTTCTCTTGGTGGGTGTGGCCCCTGTGCAGTTCAGCTCCCACTCGCCTCTCCAGAATAGCAGCCTCCTCTCCAGATGGGCCATGTGTGCATTAGCCTGGCCTGACACCATTGGCCCAGCCGGTGCTGTTGCTATGACTCCATTTGTTGTGAGTGTCTCCACTTCACTATCTGGTTTGGAACTGATCTCCCTCCCACACTTTGAGGCTTTGCTTCTCTTTTAGGACCTGTTTCATTAGGAACAGTTCCTCACCTGGGTCCCTTTCATCTCTGTGGTTCCATACTTGCAAAAGTGAACTGGCCTAATCACTTGTGGTGCCTATCAGGATTGTATATGCCCCGACCTTGAAGGCCATTCTAAGTCGGTGTCATCATTTACTGAATATTCTAGCACTCATCTGTGTTCAGTATTTTGAGAAATGTGATAATAATTTGCTTTTTTGGACCAAGCTTTATAAGATCCCTTGACTCAGCCTACTAGTATGACTTTGGCTTCATGACCTCAAGGTTTTGGCATAAGTTTAGTGCTTGTGATTGAACCCAGGTTCTTGGGCACACTAAGCACATACTCTTAATACTGAACTACACTCCCAGTCCCAGATTCTTATGTTTTTATTGGCTCTTGCTGGTTCCTTTTTTTTTTTTTTTGATGGTACTTAAATGTTCTTTATTTCTACCTCAGGCTTAGAGTTGAAACTGGGGAGAAGGCTCCCTGTATGTATTCTTGAGTTCTGTGTTCTCAGGTTTGCCAAGGAATATCTGTAGATCATTTCGGGCTTCCCCCGAAAGAAGAGGGTAGGGTACAGTAGGACTTTAAGCACAAGCCATATATCCTCCCTCTACCAACTGCACAGCTGTGTGCTAGGCAGTCTTTGTGTGTAGGATAATATGGTTGTATTTGTGGAGTGTGTGTGGAGGCAGGGGTCCTCCTTAGGTACACCTATTTTGTATTTGTTTGTTTTTTTTGTTGCTGTTTTCTGTTTGTTTGTTTTTAAAAACAGGGTTTCCAGAGCTTAGGACTTGATATAACTTGACTGGGTGGTGGGATTTGAACTCAGGCTCTTATTCTTGCTATGTCCCCAGCTCCGTAAGTAGTCTTTCTGAGCCTGTGTAAATTTGTAGTAATGATAAATCTCAGAATTAAATGAGACGTTTAGATTATGATGAATCTTAAATATTAATTGGTGGCTGCTCATATTTATGTCGTTAGTAAGCACTAAAGTGATACAGCAACAAAAATCAAAGTTCTTTACCCTGTGAGACTGAATGAATATTCCGTGTTGCAGAATGCTTCCTATGCATTGTGGACATGCCCAGCCTCTAGCCACTAGACATTTGCTGACCCCAACCTCCTAAGTCACCCAGTTGTGACAATCGAAGTGTTCTAGTGGCTCTGGCAGGAAAATTGTCCCTGGTTGAGACCTACTTATACTTAGAAGTATAATGAGTTTTCTGAGATGAAATAGTTATGAAATTGGAATATTTAGGCATTTCCTGGAACATTCTGCCTATATGTGATATGAAATTTGGATTTATGTTTTTGTTAATCTCTTTCTGTTACTTTGGGCAGTTTAAAATGCTATCGAATTAATTATGTAAGTGAAATATAAAGGACATATGTAAATATAAAGTATGTGGGTAGAGTGTGTAGTGCGTGGCCTTGCTGGTGCTGACGGTGGGCTCTTTTTGGCAGCGTACTGTAAGAACTCCGTGGACGGTCTCTGGTATTGCTTTGATGACAGCGATGTGCAGCAGCTGTCAGAAGATGAAGTGTGCACACAGACCGCTTACATACTTTTCTACCAGAGGCGGACAGCCATCCCATCGTGGTCAGCTAATAGCTCGGTGGCAGGTAACCTGGTTTTCGTTGTTTTTTGTTTTGTTTTTTTTCCCAGAGCAGGAGTTTGTAATTCTTGGGCCAAAGGATGTTTCAGAAAGCTTCATTATTGAATGCTTGATGAGATTTTCACATTTCCACTTAATCTGGGAACTTATATGATTTCAACCAAGGAAGTTGGGGTGGATGCTGAACTATCATGAACCAGAAGAGTTCACAGAGAGGTGGGACAGAGCCCAGACAAACTACTTATAACTTACTTGTTGGTTAAGTACCTGGAGGTTTGGGTTGTCTTGAAACATGTTCCATCTGCTAACACCTACCCAATGGGGTTACTGGTTGCTTACCATTGGTGAAGGTGTGTGAAAGTATTCTATAAACTGTAAAGACCATTAGAAAGAAAGAATTCTTTTTCTTCCATAAAATTAATCTGTTCTGTTAGGGGAAAGGATTGACTGCTGTTAACTGACCGAGGGCTTGGTTTTGCTGATGAGATGCAGCCTATTATGTTAATAAATGTAGAAATGAGTCCCACACACAATATGAATGCAGCCATAGATAATCAACTGAGAGGAAGGTATATGCTTCTTGCTGCAGGCTGTGACTTTAAGAAAATAGCTTGAAATGTGGTAATACATCAGTAGGAGGAGGCTCAGGGAGTGGTGATCAATGTCCCCTTCCAGACCTGTAAAGGGTTATGCTCAAAGCAAGGAGGCAAGGCCTTCTCAGTGGGTAGGCTGCTCACTTGACTCTTGGGCCATTCCAGAATCTGAGATGTGCTAAAAAATGATAGTCACTTTAGGTCTGTTTAAGACAGTACTGCTTCATGTAGTCAATAAGAACACTATTACCCTAACATCTATTTAAAGGTAACCCCTGGAATTGATAGTACTGATGAACATACAACAGATTCGTACCCCGTACTGTGTGGGTGCATGCTGGTGCATGCATATGCATGCATCATTAGTATTATAAAATGACTTTAAAATGTCCAAAAGACATTGAAGCTAAGAAAAACAATGTCTGTATTACTGCTCTTCCTCTGGGTGGTTCAGAAGCACTGCCAGTGCTCAGAGCTTGTGCTGTGTGTCTCTATTTCACTATTCCCTTGCCAGGATTAGGTGTTGCTTTTGAAAACATTTATTCTATATTTGCAGTTTGTTTATGTAACCTTCCTATGTAGCAATTGCTTGGAGTTTCTTCATTTTTGCTAGGGATACTTAGTTCGGGGAGTTTTTCTTAACTTTGGAATGAGGACACAAATCTCTGACTTGACTGGCAGCACCTTGACAGGATGTGTGCAGTGCAGCACCCTGGCTGACCTTAGGATCCATCTCCTTTTCTACAGGTTCTACAAGTTCTTCTCTGTGTGAGCACTGGGTGAGCCGGCTCCCAGGGAGCAAGCAAGCCAGCGTGACCTCTGCAGCCTCCTCCAGACGCACCTCCTTGGCTTCACTCTCTGAGTCTGTGGAGATGACAGGGGAAAGGAGTGAAGACGATGGTGGGTGTGGGTCTTGGTGTCAGATTCCCAAAATGGCAACTCATAAACAAAGCAACAGTTTCTGCAGGCTTAGGAACAAAGTCTTTACAAGCAGACTGTAGAACTCAAAAGAGTAGGGGTACATAACTGAGTTGTGGCTTCTCTATGACTCAGGGATTTCTCCTTTATTATTTTCCACTTCTGTATTTCAGTGTACAGATAAACACTTTTTGTTAAAATTTGCAGGATGGCTATTAGGTCTCAGAGATGTTCTACCTTGCCTGGGACTGCCTCATGTAGAGTTGCTGTTCTTAGCTAATGAGGATACCATTGGGTCAGCTTGACCTCTACTCTAAACATAGTCACAATATCAATACTGGAGGAAATCTGATTAAATATTGAAGTGCATTTTGTGTATTTGTTTTTTTCTTGGTACCTTTCACTTATGCTTGAGTATTGACAGGATAGCCCTTAGTACTGTCAGGAACCCTAGGTGGTATGGGATGGACTAGGCAGCCAAAGTACTAAGAGCTGGAAGTGGGAGAGAGTGAGCTCAGCATCCATAATGAAGACAGTGACTCATCTTCCAAAGAGTCTCATTTGCTGCCAGTATTTCAGTTGCTTTAATCTACTTCTAGGGGCGATGGATAATTCTGAGAAAATGAAATGGAGCCAAAATGGGAGGTAGTTGGAAAGAAATCAAACTAGGAGAGCTGCGGCATGGCTCTGGCTCTACCCACTTTGGCATTTTGCTTCTTTTCCTTGTGAGCTGAAATATATTAGACTATTGTTGCTAAGCCCTTTCTCTTTCCTAGTATTTTAGGAAAAGCTGACTAGTGATCCTATACCTATTTAGGTGGACATTATTTTCACCACAGTCCTGTAAATTTGGAATTTGCTGTTGTTTTAACAATAAACCCAGAAGTAGCTTACCTTAATCTATTTTTAAGTAGTCTGGTTGGTGAAATCAATATCTTCTTAAGCATCATCATCATTTAGTCATGCTCAGTGGTCACATAGAACAGAACCTGACTCTTAGAAGTTACAAAGGCCACAGCTGCAGTAACAGAGGCATGCAGAATTCAGCTTGGTATTGCCTTGGAAAGGTTTAAGCCGTTGCAAATATTAGTCTACCAGTCATTGAAGGTAGTATGTATAATATCCAAGACTCTAGTTCTCCCCACTGGTGCCCTTTCATTGTTGCCTGTTACAGGCTTACTTCCACAGGGCATGCAATGAGGTTATGGGTTCGTGTGTCATTTTGGTCAAGGAATTCATTCAGTGATTTCCAGGCGTCCTTCTGGACAATGAAGGAGCTGGGTTAGAAGCTCATGTTTAGTGAAGATCTGAGAGTGCCCGGATCCTTGCTGGACACAGACTTCTTAGATGTTATTTAATTCTTTAATTAGGCTGACAGTCACCAGATTATAGCCAGAGGCCACATGTGGATGGCTACTTTTTTAAAGTGCAAAACAATCCCACACCAGTTTGGATTCAAAGGGTTATTTGAGTGGAAAAAACTTACAGAACACCGTCCTACATGACAGCCAGGAAAGGATTCTAGTCACTGGAGCAAGAGAGAGAGCTGAGGGCTGCCGCTGCTTTTTAAATCGAAAGAGACCATGCTGCAGTGGACTTACCGGTATCACAACGACTATTGGCTGAAGGAGCGGAAGGAGTTCCCACAGCACCTTTTCCATAGTTTTTGGAACATAATCATCCATAGTTAATTGTGTGCCACCTGTGACTGATTTTATGGTAAGGTCACAGAGCTGAGCAGCCGCCTGAACAGCCTAACAGACTGACAGAAAGCGGACTGACCCTGATGTAGGATGAAGTAGATGGAGAACATTTTGCTGACTTGAGACTTAGCATGACCCTATTTTGTGGATAAGGAAACTGGTCTTTGAAGGGTTGAAAGCACACAGTTATCCTTGACTCTAGCAGACAGGCCAGCATTGAAGGTCATGGTCCTGTCATTCCCCCGGGTTTGCCCTTGCTCTGTCTTCAGTGTCTTAAGGTGTTACTAAGAAGTTTTGATGGTTTAGTCTGACAGAATTTTCTCTGCTATGCAGGAGGCTTTTCTACTCGACCGTTTGTGAGAAGTGTGCAGCGTCAAAGCTTGTCATCCAGATCTTCTGTCACCAGCCCCTTGGCTGTCAATGAAAATTGCATGCGGCCTTCTTGGTCCCTGTCTGCCAAGCTACAGATGCGCTCCAGTTCTCCTTCCCGCTTCTCAGGGGACTCCCCGATCCATGGGTCTGCCTCCACTCTTGAAAGGATTGGGGAGGCAGGTGATGATAAAGTGTCCATATCTTGCTTTGGTAGTCTACGGAACCTTTCTGGTAGTCACCAGGAACCAAGTGACAGTCACAGTAGACGAGAGCACAAGACTGTGGGCCGGGCCCCATTGGCTGTCATGGAAGGTGTGTTCAAAGATGAGTCAGACTCTCGAAAATTGAACTCCAGTGTTGTAGACACACCAAGCAAAAATCTAGCACAAGGGGATTGCTTGCCCCCCATTTCTGATCCTTTTGATAATAATAACCAGATTGCTTATGTGGATCAGAGTGATTCTGTTGACAGCTCTCCAGTCAAAGAGGTGAAACCTCCAAGCCACCCAGACTCCCTCACAAAGAAGCCAGAGAGCACAACCAAGAGATCCCCTAGTTCCAAAGGCACTTCTGAGCCAGAGAAGAGCATGCGGAAGGGGAGGCCCGCCTTGGCCAGCCAGGAATCTTCTCTTTCAAGTCCATCCCCTTCTTCACCTGTTCCTGTGAAGGTTTCCTTGAAACCTGCCCGCTGTCGGAGCAAAGCAGATTCTTCCAGGGCCAGTGGAAGGCATTCATCCCCTGCCTCTACCCAACCCAAAAAAGAATTGTCCCCCAGGTCCCAGGAATCCATGTCATCTCCTTCACCACAGAAGCAAAAGTCTACTTCTGCCTTCACTTACTCTTCTTCCTCCATATCTGCCAAAAAAGCCCCAGGCCCTGCCTCCAGGGGCTCCTTACCTTCTGGGAAGAGCAGGACTTCTGACCGGAGCTTGAGTAGAGAGGGTTCCAGACAAAGCTTAGGTTCTGACAGAGCCAGTATCACCTCCACCTCCACCTCCACCTCCAAACCTAGCTCCCCTCGGGTGAATCAGGCCAGATCAGGAGACAACAGAGTTGATGGCAAACACGTTCGGAGCTCTTCCATGGCCAGCCTGCGCTCACCTAGCACAAGTGTGCGCTCTGGGTTGAAGAGGGACAGCAAGTCTGAGGACAAGGGACTGTCCTTTTTTAAGTCAGCCTTGAGACAGAAAGAAACCCGGCGGTCCACTGATCTTGGCAAGACAACCTTGCTGTCCAAAAAGGCTGGTGGGAGCTCTGTCAAGTCCGTCAGTAAGAACACCACAGATGACAAGGCAGAGAAAGACCATCAGTCCCCAGGCTCACAGCAGCCAAACACAAATGCAGTTGGAAAAGAACAGCTTGTCTCAAAGGACCCTGCTTCTGCTAAACATTCCTTGCTATCTGCTCGAAGATCCAAGTCTTCCCAGCTAGATTCTGGAGTTCCCTTGTCTCCCAGTAGCAGGCTGGCCACCGAGAAAGGCTCCAAAAAGCTGTCTTCTAGCATGCAAACCTCTGCACGGCCTTCTCAAAAACCCCAGTGATCTTCTGCAATCTGGGTGTTTTATCTGTACAGATGTTTATTTATTTAGAACTCCCTTCCCACCAAAGCCCTCTATGCTTTTATTTTGTATTTTTTTGGGTCATGTGCCTGACTGTGTGAGAGAATATGAGTGTGTGTGTGGAATTCAAATTGTTAAAAGCGTCGCCTTATTCTGCCATTGAACCAAATAACAGCCATAGGCAAAGCATTGATACCAAGCTAACTGGAATAACTGTAGAAAATAATCTGGATAGTCCCTTTAGCAACTGTACTTATTTCTTTCTAGAGAACTCTAATGACTTTGGTTGGACACTAGGGTTTGAAAACCTGTGAACCAATTAAGCTATCAGTGTGTAGACAGACGAATTGTTTGACTTGGGTTTCATCTGAACAGAATTTATCTTCATGTAGATTGTTGAGTGCCATCAGGAACTTAGAAAACAAACAAACAAAAACAAAAACTATGACACTAACAACAACGTAAACTGAGGGAAAACTTGCTTTCTGCACTTTGGCCCCATCTACCAGTCTTTGTAAGGACAATATCTTAACACTAATGTTTCTCAGGTATATCTACTCAGCTAGTTTAGGATGGATGTACATTACTAATAAATGGTTCAAGAGGAAGATGGCATGGGGGAGGGTGACTGTCCTTTCTCCTACTGCCACAGGTAGAGGTCTCAGAGGTAGACAGAAAATCTATTGCTACCTTCATATCTGCATTTATATGCATACCCTAGCCTGTCTTGACTCCTTGGATATGTTCTAAGATTTGGCAATTTTTGGATAGTCAGAAAGACAGTCACTAATATTTTTTTTCATTCTAAATTTGCTGGCTAAGGCCATTGGAATGTTCAAAAACTGTAGTTCAAAAACTGTAGCTGAACAGTTAATGCTTTTGAAAGATTCCCAGAAAAAAATTTTATTCCAAGCTGGAAGCCTGAGTTTATCATTCTCCTCCCCTGATGTTGCTTTTTTCTGTTAGAAGTTTGAGCATCTCCTAACTCCCCTTGTGTGCTTACTGCCTTGTCTTGCTGCTTGGAAAAGAAAGAAGTTGCCTCCTACCAAGAGCCACTGGTCGGTGTGGTGATGTGTTGTGAGACAAAGCATTGCACATGCACTTTGGATCGTACCTGTCAGTCTTCCTTCTGACTGCTTCTCTGTAGCTCTTTTATGTCCGCTCTGTCCTGAAGAGTTAACCTCAGACCCAGAACTCAAGCAGAGTCTGGCATATGTTCCCTCTGGCATGTTGTTGTCAATTGTGTTATTATAGATGAAAAGGGGAACCTCAGACCTCACTGGATTCTCACAGGTAAAACACAGTTTTCCAAGCCTTGTGGAAATCACTTGGAAATGCTTTCCAGCCCAGTTTCTTAGTGTCTTCTTTTTTTTTCTCTTCTTTTCTTCTTCTTCTTTTTTTAATATCGAGAGAATTGTGGTCTTGATTCTCAGAGTAGCATTTGTCACTTTGTCATTAAATATAGCATGTTGAGTTTATGTGTTGTTATATACTAGAGCTCATGGTTCCAGGTCCACATGAACTCCCTTTTCAGTATTTCTGTGAAGTGGCCGCGGTGCATATGTGCATGCAGTTTGATTTCTGCACTGTCCTTTTGTTCTTTATGTTAAGAATACCTCCTGGGAAGTACTTTCCACTAGTTAAGTTTATTTTGCTGCTAATATGGACATTAGCTGGTAGCTTACAGGTTCAGGGTGACTGAGATTTTCAGCCCTTGTGGTATTTGAGGCTTAAGTGTTCAGCTTTGTGCACGTTACCACAGTGCTCCACACAATCCAGTGTGTGTGAGCAGTGCCCACTGCACTCAGTCCTGTACTGGCTGCTTCTGTCCCCCCTCCCCCCACTCCCTGTGGCTTCCCAAAGCCTCCAGGCTCTCCTGCCTTTGTGTGACTGAGGTGACAGCTGCCTTTTCATGTCATCATTGTTAAGTGGCACAAGGTCAGCCCCAGCAGTGTTTAGCCACCAATCTTGTTTTCTTTTATTGTTTTTATTTTCTAAAAAAAGCATCAAATGTGAGACCATCAGCATCAGGAATTGAGCATTTGTGTGATTTGAGCCTCTGAAATGGTCTTAGAATTAGAATGTGATAAGACAAAGGATTTTTAATAACAAGCTGTTTTGCCATAATTAAGATGACTAGAAGCTAGTTTAATTTTCACAGTACTACATAGTTTTATTCTTGAATGCAGTAGGAATGGATCCTCCCTCCCACGTGTATCATGTTTTCTTAAACAAAACAGAGAAATCCTCTACAAGTCTCTGCTTTTCCATGGGATCAAGAAAGACAGTTTCTATAATGTAATAAAATTGAAAAGATGTATGTATATGGAGTTTAGTCCTTATTTCATATTTTAATTCAATAGAAAAAAATTAGCCTTGTCTAGGCTGTGAAGCTGCCATGCTTGTGAGGTTGGGAAACAATGCAGTCTGATTTCTTACTGCTGGGGTGTGTTTAAGACCCAGAAAAGGCTGCTCTGACAGTGCTGTCTGAAGTGAAAGAGCTTATGAGAGGGTTGCCGCTTGGTTCATTCAGTTCTGTGACAGGGTTAAGTTATTGCAGTCTTTTTCCAGCGATTTGAATATAGTGATTTTTGACCTCAAAAATCACCTGCTCAGATGGTAGACCTGAGTTTCTGCTTGGCAACCCACTGAGCCTGGTTAGGGCAGTCATTCCCCGCAGGAACACAGCACCAACCAACAGAGTGATGCATTGGTAATTTTTTTGGGGGGGGTGTTAAATAGGCCTCCGTTTATCCTTGCTCTTTTCCTGTAGAGCACCCTGCACATGAGGCTACACCATCCCTTAAGTCAGCCTTCCACCTTGCCTTCATGATGATGCTTACTCATGTCCCTTACAACCCTCGCCAACCTCATTTATTTCTTCTTATGCCTGAGAGTGAGTAGTGCCATGTCCGATCAATAGGGCAATGTGGTATATCTTTGCTGTGCCACATTCAATTCATTTGGACCTGCTTTGCAGAGGCAAACAGAAAGCTTCAGCAATCTGCTGTAGTTGAGGAGTCCTGGGAGACACCAAAGCAAACGGCCTGCCATGGAGTTGTGGTCTTCATCAGAAACACCCAAACACATTATGGTTGGGTCAGACCTGAGGTTCCTTGAGTTTTTGTCTGGAAACCAAAGGTATCCTTGTCTATCTCTGGAGACATTGTGTTCTTCTGGCCACTGGGTCAGATTGAGCCGTCTGTACTGTATAGTGATTAAATCTAGTACCTGGTCACTTTACATTAGAATCAACCCTCTGTGTTTCTGTGTGATGGCTATGGAGATTGTTGAGGGATGGGATGCACTGTCACCCTTCTAACTAATAAGTAGGAGTGGTGTGTTAAGGGAGCAGTCATGGCAGCTTAAAGAATATGGATTAAAGAGTTGTGAACAAAGCTCATTTCACATAAACCCTCTTTAAGTGGATGGGCACATGGCATCACATCTCATTTTGATAGATTACTAATAGCTGAAGTTACAGTTTCCTGTGTAGATTGTCATTGAATACAAAGGTAATTAGTGTTCCGGTTTGGACTTTTGAGCTAGGATGAAAATCATAAGCACAGTTTCAATAAAACACGGTTTGGAGGTGCATTGATACTTAGATTTTGGAGTTGAGAAGGGAAAACTTTGCTGGCAAACCAGTGCCTACCATAAAGCCAACTTAGCTGCGAGTATGCAGGCTGCTCTTGCTTGAGTTTTATAAAGAGCTCATTGCTGTTCAGCTGGCTGCACCTTCAGTTGGGACATCATGCTTTTGTTTCAGTCAGTGCTTGGGGTCCCATGTTGCCTTGTGATCAGACCCCAGATTGTTCTTCCTAGCTGCCTTTTGAGCATGACCGATCATTTTCACCCCCAAGTAGAGACAGCAGTTTTGCATGCCCTCCATCTAGCCCAGAAAGCATGCTCATACTACCTATGCAAGCAGTCGATTGAAAAGCATACAGAGAAACTACACTAAACATTGAGTTTTAAAAAAGAAAAAAGACAACTCAGATCCTGGAGCTCTATTTTTGAATTTGTAATTTTTAAAGCGTGGCTTTGTCATCAGTGTAGGTGATCCTGAGTATGAATTTTAGGTTGCTTTGCGTCTCTTTCTCTGCCAGTCTTTTTTTAAAATTATCATTGGTGAGATTGTGTGTAAAATAGTATTTTGCAAGCAGGAGTGGATTGGATATGTTGAACATACACTGGTGTATATATTGTATTTAGCCTGAAGACTTTCCTAAAGTATTTTGTTCTAAGAAATAACCTGCCATTTTCTATAGATTTTAATTTTTTATATCTTCTGGTGTCCTTCATCACAAGGAGAGATGTGGCTTCATATAGTGCTAACAATTTTTAAATGCTTTTGTAGAGACTTAGAGGTGTTTACGAAGACTCTGGGACATCCCACCCACTGGTCTCAGTAAGATTAAGGATGTGAAATGTATGGTAGTGTTAAACAATGGATTCAGGTCTAGATCCGTCTCACATTCATTTAAAACCATTGTTTTCCATGGGGCAGGGATGGGGCAGAGGCTCATAGCATATGTGAAAGATGTCTTTGAATCTCATACATATACTGTCCCCAGGCCTCTTCTGGATGATTCACCCTAGGTCACCAGGATCATCAAGGGACTTGGAATGCCTGGGCCTCTCCCAGGCTTTTGATGCTGGGTGACTTTCTCTCCTTATTCCGGTCAGAATCAAGAAGGATGTGGTATACCATCTCTTTGCCAACAATTTATGGCGAGAATCATCACTGCCATACAAAGTACTCAGGAGGAATTTCAGTTGCGTTGGACAAGAAAATTAAAAGAAGCTGTCAATCCCCTGCTTGAATTCAGGGGACAAGAACTTTCTGACTTTAAGGCCTGATTTGGACCTGTGAAGCATTTTATGGGTGGTATGTTACTTGCCAGTCTGGGGATTGTCCTTACTTCCTGGTGGCAAGCAGAGTGCCCCAAGGGGTCCGAGTTCATTCCCAGAGCCTCTGTTCAGATTCTGCTGTCGGGCTGAGACCCATGCAGGAAGGGAAGTCACTCCATGTTAGAAAATATGGCAGAAGACGGTAGAAGGTTAACTGTCTAGCCGTGCAGACCCTGCTCTGCTTTTGACAGCACGATTGCAAACCACAGGCTGCATGGGCCCCTGCTCTGATTGCACTCCACTCTAGGTCTTTCCTGCTCAGAATGTAGCTCTAGGAGTCCTTTTAAATTTAAAAACAAATGTGAAACATTCTATTGAAATTATTTTGACGCTCTCATTGCTGTTTTTTTATGTAATTAAATCAATACCTATCCAGGAATTTGGCAGTATATGTTACCTACAGAGGCACATGAAGTTTGGTTTTAATCTGTGGTGAGCCAGGTGCACTATACCATCTTCAAAATAATCTGCTGTGCTGTGTGGCCTCATCCCATTGAACATCAGGCTGCCTACAAAAAGGAGAAAGAAACAGTTTATCTGACGGGCTCATATTTTAAGGAGTAAGGGTATCAGGAAAAACCAGAGCTGGAACAGCTTTGGCACACGGCCTCCCAGAGTCGGGCTCTCTGCTGCTGTGGACACGCAGCATGAACTTTCCTAGGTGCTATTCCAGACTGGGGGACTGCGTTTCTGCGCTTGCGGTTCTGTCGGTCTTTCCTGTAGGCATTTATGCTCTGTGTAGGTCTGCTCACCAACTGTGCCTCTCACCACTGGTTAAAATTGAATATGGGCCTCATTACCAAAATGGTTTCTTGATTCTCTTGTGTATTTACAGCGGCGTTTATTTCTCTAGTTGTCTTAAAAGCTGCATGTCATATCACTGTACACAAAATGCTTTGGTGTCATTCATGAGCCAGTAGTGAGCTCTGTATAAATTCTTCAGTAAAAGGATGGCAGAGTATCTTTCCTGCAGGCTGGAAGAAAGTGTATCCTACATTTTAAATTATTTTAGGCCAAGTGCATGAGGTATGTCACTGCCTTCTGTTATTTATTTGTATATTTTATTATTCAAGGTGTATGCACTTTTAAGAAGCAGAATTTATATTTTTATGTTTAAAACATTTTATTTCTGAGACAGCAGTTGGTTATATAGTATACAATTGGAATTAAGAGAAAACTGGAAATGTAACAAAACATAATAAATTTACTACATGATGCCTTCTTCAAGACATACTCCTTTTTTTCTCCCTTTGCCAAACCAGTTTTTTTTTTTAAAAAAATGTTGACTAGTATTTGTACTGCATCGATTTGTATAACATAATGCTTTAAAGTTGCAGCATTTCAGGTAAAAACATCAAGTTACAGGATACTACCACGCAGACTAGCTGACTCCCCATGCAATCGCTGTGTAAAAAGATCATCCATACTTGTTCCCAGTCAGAAATTATATGAGTGATATAATGAGAGATATGAGAGACTAGATGTCCTGAGCTACATAGCTGGGCAAGAAAGCTCACATTCTGTCTCACTTCCAACAGATTTCCTTCATTGCTACTCTTTGGTGATAAGAGGAAATTTTAACATAAAAAGTATTCTTTCCTTAGTCTTTTCTCACCTCTTATACACATAGTTTCTGCTTTATTTTTTATTTTATGTGTATGAGTGTTTTGCTTGCATTTGTCTAAGTGCACCATTTGTGCCTGAACGTAGTACCCAGGGGGAAGCTAGAAATGACTCTTGGATCCCCTGGAGTTTAGAGTTTCTAAAGACTGATCTATTGTGTGACTGCTGGGAACTGAACCCACGTCCTCTGGAAGAACAGCCAATGCTCTTAATCACTGAGCATCTCTCCAGCCTCCTAGAACCTGGCTTTTAACCGTCTTCTTCTGAGTTGTTTTTTTGTTTTGTTTATTTTCTAGCTATCTTGCCTACAAAGATAATTCTCTAGTGTGGTGTTGTATCACTTGTGACCACTTGGGGGCAACAGAGCTCAGTATTCTCCAGTGTGTTTTAAAAGTCCAGTTTACCAGTTTTTAATGTCTTATCTGAGGGTGGAAATGCCTGAGATGAGCTGAGAATAGCATCTCTGAGCTGGCCATGCTCATCGTGCAAATATTCTAGTCAGCCATTTCTCCCAGAGAAGTGAGTACCGTGGATGCACAGCATCGTGGCAAGTTGGGTAGGCCACTCTGGATCATCCAAAATGGCACTTCATCCTCTAATTTGGAGTAGTAAGGTTTTCCTTTAGCTTAGCACAGCACACCATTTACTAAAGAGGTTCAATTATGCCTGCACATGTTCACGTATCATAAAATATATAAATTTTTACAGAAATATTTAAAGGGCACTTTGTTGCCAGTGAATTTGGAGGATTATTTTCAAATACTTGAATGCGATGTGTCTGCAAACACATTTTAGCTCTGAAGTCTTCCTGAAGAAAGCAAAGATGTGGCAAAGTCCCTTGACCTGTTCCATTTCTCCTTTGTATTAAACCTCCCTTAGACTTGAGGCCTAAACCAGCAGAAAGTGGTTTAAAACATGTCACCCCATGTCAGTGCCCCTTCCCCAGATGGGCCCAAGGACTGCAGCAGATGTTTGGGTTTTGCCTCTTTGGGTTTGGCTCTCCTGCTTTTCAGGCATCTCCATGTGGGTTATCCAGGACTTTGATCTGGTGCATAGGGAGACTTGAGATCTTGGCTCACCCTCACATTTTCTTCTCTTCAACATTCACTACACAGGGAGAGCAGGACCTCCTCTCTGATGGATTCTGCATGTGTAGTCCAGTGGATAGCACCCTGTTACTTATGGTTTTCAGGGCTATATCATTAATTTGGCTTGCTCTTCTGGTTTAAACAGCTCCATTTTTCTTTTTCGAATTGGAATTTACTATTTTGTGTGTATGAATGTTTTGCCTACACGTATGTTTGTGCACCATGTGCATGCCTGATGCCCACTGAGATAGGAAGATCCCCTTGGAACTGGAGTTACAGATGGTTGTGAGCCACCATGTGGGTGCTGGAAATGAACTCGCCCTCTGCAAGAGCAACTGAGTCACTGGTAATACAAGACTTCAATATGTAATTAAGACCATGTAGCAGCAGGCTGCTTGGCCGATTGTTCATTTTCCGGCTGCCCAGACCCCCAAAATAATCACACAGAAACTGTATTAGTTAAACCACTGCTTGGCCTATTAGCTCTAGCTTCTTATTGGCTAATTCTTATATATTAATTGAATCCATTTCTATTCATCTGTGTATCGCCAAGTGGCTGTGGCTTACCTGCTAAAGTTCCATCTGCCTCCAGCAGGGCCACATGGCTTCTCTTAAACTCTGCCTGCCTTCCTTCTCTCAACATTCAGTTTAGTTTTCCCTGCCTACCTCTGTTCCCTGTACAGGCCCAAGACTATTTATTAACCAATGATTACAGCATACAGAGGGGAATCCCACATCAAGACCAAGCATGTGATATTTCCTAGGTCTCCCCTTTGTTTATGAAAAATCCATAGAGACTCAGATTTGGTTTCCAATTCCAAGGACTCGGTCTGTCTTCTAGAGTAGGCCTGAAGAAGACATTGTGGTATACCAAATGCAGATGGGCTTTGCCAGCCTCTGGTTCATACAAGGTCCCATGAAGGGGAATGACACATATCATTCCAAGGCAGAGACCAAGTCCCTTCTTGTAGCACTGTTTCTGTAGTCCAGCACTAGGATATGGTCACAGGGTCAAAATAGTGAATGTAACATTTCAGCCCTCCTTGCTCTTAAGGCATTCTGCCTACTAGCTTTGAGGTGTGCAGAAGGTCATCTCTCTAATACGAGCTTGCTTCAGAGAGCTCCTGGACCACCCTCTCCAAGTTTGCAGTCCATGCTAAAGTCTACCTTCTCCCTACCTTATGTTCTGCATGCATTTAATCAGCTAGTGCTATGCCTGTTTGAAGGAGATGCAGAGGTGGCTTGCTCCATTTGCTTGCTCTTTTTCCTCTTAAAGGAGGGCACATAGTAGTGTTTCCCTGAACTCCTGGGCTAGCTGATTTGTCTGAGTCAACTTTCTTGTCTAGGGGTGGAGTTAAGAAGGTTAAAGGGGAATGGTGCTCTTTAAGCCTGCCCCGCTGTACTGGACATAGAGAAAAGATTCAGTGAGTGGTTGCAATCGTGTTCAGAGGAGGGTCTAATGCTGGAGGCCTTGAAAGATAGCTCCTTTAAAAAAAAAAAAGATTTATTTATTTATTATGTATACAGTGTTCTGTCTGTCTGTATGCTTGCTGGCCAGAAGAGGGCACCAGATCTCATTACAGATGACTGTGAGCCACCATGTGGTTGCTGGAAGTTGAACTCAGGACCTCTGGAAGAGGGGTCAGTGCTCTTAACCTCTGAGCCATCTCTCCAGCCCCACAGGACAGCTGTTATTTCACCTAAGGGAGACCATACTTTCTGGGAGCCCCAGGAGGCCCTTCCTGGCATGTAAGACAAGAAGCAGTGGAAGAAGGGAGGAGTGACCATCTAAAGGAACCTCATATGACCTACATGTGTACCAAAGTAAATGACAATCAGGAGCAGTGTAATTTGGGGGAAGATATGAGACCCAGTTTGTGTCTTTGCACAGTCACCATGACAACAATGTATCTGAAAAGTAAGTTAGGAACTTGCTGCAGGAATCTGGATGACCTAGAGTGGTGGAGGTGCAGGAGGGTAGGGAGGTTCTGTACAGGGAAGGCTGGCTGCTGGGCTCGGTCCCTGTGACTATGACTTAAGGGTTGGACAGTCAGGACAAGTCACTCAACTTCTCTGTGCCTGGGTGTCTTCCCCTGTGGAATGTAGATTGTGATATCTACATGAGGAGGTATTTAGTTAATGGGGTGTTATATAAGTATTTGGTTTTATCTATTATCTTACTATTTCTTTGATACTTGTATCACCCGCTTTTTTTTCTTTCTTTCTTTCTTTCTTTCTTTCTTTCTTTCTTTCTTTCTTTCTTTCTTTCTTTTTTTTTAGTTTTTCGAGACAGGGTTTCTCTGTGTAACTTTGGAGCCTGTCCTGGAACTAGCTCTTGTAGACCAGGCTGGCCTCGAACTCTCACAGAGATCCACCTGCCTCTGCCTCCCGAGTGCTGGGATTAAAGACGTGCACCACCACCGCCTGGCCGATCACCCGCTTTTTAACTATTTAGTTTTTATATGTGACTTGATCACCTTTTACCTTCCTTCTTCTATACCACCTGCTTTATATCTGTCTCTCCTTCCTTACTCTTTTCAAACACCAAGCCTTTGTGCATGTATAGGGGTGTGTGTTCATGTGTCAGTGTACATATGCATGTGGATGGATGTGTGTGCTTGTATGAGGGGGACCAGAGGTTGATTGACATTGGGTTTCCTTCTCAGTTGCTCTCCACTTTGATTTTTGGAGACTGTCTCTTACTGGTTTGGCTAGGTTAGCTGGCCACCAAGCTCTAGGGATCTTTCTGCCTCTGGCTTTCCAGTGCTGGGGTTCCAGATATGCCCCACCCCACATGGGTTTTCACTTGGATGTTGTGGATACAAACTCAGGTCCTCTGGTTTGCACTGCAGATGGTTCACTTGACCTTGTTCTTACTCTGCCCCAAACTGGCCCCATACTCAAAACCTATCTCCTTGTTTGACTTTAGCTGCCATTTCCTTCTTAAAAGTAGGCTCTCGCCATGTTCTTCATGCTGACTTTCCACTCGCCACTGCAACTCCGAGTGCTAAGGTGACTGTAGCACGATTAATAAAAACCCAGAGACAGAAATTGGGGTTCAACCTGAAGTTCAGAAAAGTAAAACAGCCAGCCTCTGGCTCTTACCTCTACCTCAGTCCGAAATGGCAATTCTGCCTCCAGGAATCCTCAGAATGAGACTGTGTGAGAGCTGTCTCCTCCCGTCTTCTATTCCTCTCTAGTGCTGGGTTTAAAGGCGTGCACCACTACTGCCTGGTTTCTATGAAAACTGGTGTGGCTACTGGGATTAAAGGTGTGTCACCACTGCCTGGTCTGTAAGGCTGACCGGTGGGGCTGTTTTACTCTCTGATCTTCAGACAAGCTCTATTTATTGAGATACAAATGAAATATCACCGCAGGTGACAGGTGTGTGCTGGCTTTCAGCATTGCTGTCTGGATCTATGAGAGCCCGAGAGAGAGACGTCACGTTTGTGCTCAGGCTTCAGAGCGCTTTCATCCTCTTGCCCTTCCTGACCCTTTGCTGTTCTCATGCCTTCT